TTTGGCGACCAGCAGTGGATCGATGTACAACTCGCTGTGCAGTTGGGCCGATCCGAACATCGCCAAGATGCGAGGCTGGACGTTCGACGAAACGCAAACCGATCCGATGGATCGATTCGACGACCCCGGTCCGCAAATGGTCAACGGTGTGAACAAGTGGTCGATCTATGCGTTTCATCCCAGTGGTGCCAATGTTTCGATGGCGGACGGTTCGGTTCGTTTCCTTAGCGAATCGACTAGTGTCGAGATCGTGTGTGCTTTGTTGACCATCGACGGACGAGAGATCGTCAACGAAAACTAAGGAAACGCCACGTCATGCTTCGCCTCCTCACGCTCCAAGCCATTTTGCTGCTTGGGGCGTTTGTTTCGTTTGGCTTTGCCCAAGAGACCGCCACGGTCGAGCGGCCGAAGGTGCGGCCAGAGCAGTCGGCGCTTCAGCAAGCGGCACGCGCCGAAGGGCTGCGAACCGTTTACGCACAGTCGCCGGAGAAGTGGCCGGCACCACATGNNTCCTTTTAACGAATCGAAAGAGGCATTGGGTAAAGCGCTGTTCTTCGATCCGCGTCTATCTGGCAGCGGTCAGATTGCGTGTGCTTCGTGTCACGATCCCGACTTGGCTTGGACCGATGGACGCACGACCAGTTTCGGTCATTCGCGAAAGATGCTGGCTCGGAACGCTCCGACGACCCGTTTCGCGGCGCATCAAGAGACTTTCTTTTGGGATGGCCGGGCCGATACGCTTGAAGGCCAAGCCGTTGCCGTGCTGTTGAATCCAGACGAAATGCATGCCAGTCGCGATCATGTGGTGCAGACAGTTTCTTCCATTACGGCCTATCAAAAGCTGTTCGGCGAAGCGTTCGGAGACGAGGAAGTTACCCTGCAGCGTGTCGGTCAGGCCATCGCCTGTTTCGAGCGAACCGCCGTCAATGGCCGAACGCGATTCGATGCGTTTTTGAAAGGGAAGACCGACGCGATGTCAGACAGTGCGATTCGTGGAATGGATTTGTTTCGCCGCGAAGCACGCTGTATGAACTGCCATCATGGCCCGCTGCTCAGTGACGGAAAGTTTCATGATGTCGGCCTGAGCTACTATGGCCGGAAGTACGAAGACTTGGGCCGCTTTGAGATCACCGGCGAAGCAGCCGATGTCGGTCGATTCCGGACGCCGGTGCTGCGTGACGTGACTTCGACCGAACCACTGATGCATAACGGATTGTTTCATTTGCCAGGCGTTTTGAACATGTACAACGCCGGCATGCCAACCCTGAAGCGGAAAGAGCATCAGCAAGCGGACGAGCGTTTTCCGACCAAGTCGCCGCATC